TTATCAAGAATTTAGCTTTGCTCAATAAAAATATTCACGAACCACCACTGTAATATACAGACAATAGAACAATACGGGTAGCAGCAAGAAAAACACGCAAACGCTAAGTAGATAGTCTTGACGTTGACAAAAGGGCGCAGCGCCTCTCAGCCATTGTTTCTAGCCGCTTTGCACTTGTTTTCTGTTACCGCGTCCGCGGTGGCGTCATATTGAAGGGCTCACTCAACAAAGGGGAGTAAAATCACACAGATCGTAAAAGGCTGCTTTTTATGTGAAGCAAGAGTAAACCACACCCCCACATCAGGAGTGTTGTGGAGTCGCTAGACCTTTGATGGGAGAAATAAGTGAGGTTAGGTTCCAGTATTCCTCCTCTGATGATATGCAACGCATATACAGGATGTTCACAAGACACTGACCAAAAGATCAAGGAGCGACGTTTTCTGACTATCTGAATGTTCAATAAAATATGGGACAATCAAATCAAAAAAAGTGTTACACATTCGGATAGATCTTTCCGAGATGATCATCCTTAACTGCTTGCGACTCCGGCAGCTTAGATGGTAGTGATTTAATATTATATGACTATACAATACTTGTAACGATATTCACTGTAAAGTATCATGAACATGACCCTCTCTCCACAAATACGTGATGGGGCACTTTCCTCATTTTAAAATTATGACGTACCACCTATGTGTTAAAATACAGTATCAATGTATCAATTTCGTTGCTCCAACTTAAAATTGCTAGGCTGCCCGTCCAAAGAATAAGTAGGGGGAGATAACTTATCAAAAAGGATCTGAGACAATAACAAGGATCCCACCAAATAGGATATATTCAACCATTGCAACTTATTATTAAAGTTTGTTTAAAATCCGTATATTAATGTTGACTCAGTGAGAGACTGTGTATACTACGTTTTGTAATGAGATAGGCCAATATTGATTGGGCACTAGCGAGTTTCAAGTTCGCAAACTTTGTTTACCCCTTAATTAAATAAACCTTTTAGCCGTATTTGCACACTCTAGTTATATGCCGAGTGAACTGAGCAAACTCCTAAGCTGTCTCGCTTTATCGGGGAATTCGCCTATTTTCTATAATTATGCGCAGGAGCCAAAAAGCAGATGAAGTAAGTCGACTCAGTGGGTGCCACGCCCTGATATAAAACGAATCAACATCCCAGCTTCACAAACAGTCTGAGCGTTATCAGTGATAACATTTTTTAGACTATGACTAAAAATGGTACGAAGTTGAAAATAATCGAAAAATGTTCTGGAATTTGTTGTTTGTCGTTTATAACTCCACCGCCGCTGGGCCTATATTCAAAACTTAAATCTCCTTGGTATGGTAGTAATGTTGTTTCAAAATCGTAAGGAGAAGCCAGCCTGGCAAAACTAAATAAAAGTATAGTCTATGACGAAATCAACTTAGCGAAGAATATAGTCTGGCTTTAGTCGAGTATTCAATCTAGTGAAAATAACTTCGTAAAATTATGTGGCAGATACTAGTATATATTAATATAGTAAATATCGTAGGACGATTTAAGGAATATAGCCTGGTGAAATTAATCCTTAGAATAGGCAGCCTATTGGTCACAACTGCTAATAAACCTTTATAGTTGATTATGGTCACAGAGATAGAAAGCAAGCATAACCTATCCTCACTGAAACATTTTTCAAAACAGTGTGTAACATGCAGGCAAAGTTTATCCCTCCAGAAGATATACTCGACTATCAAACACAATAGTCTTATTTCTCGTAATCTGAGATATAATGCACTATGCTGGGTATAGGGTACAGGACTACCCTGATTGACCGATGCGGCGCGCCAGTTCAAGTGGCTCCTAGCTGGTAATACTTTCAACACCTCAAGATAGTCAGAATATCGGTAATCATGCTAATAATCGAAAAAATGTTCTGAAATTTGTTGTTTCTCGGTTATAACTCCACCATTACTGCATCAATATTCAAAACTTACAAAGCTCTCTCGTCTTCAATATGGTAGTAATCTTGTGTTCATCGAAATAAGTTCAATACTTTTCGACGTAAGGAGAGCCAAGAATTTCAGGATAGACACACTGACGCAGATAAATTGAGTATTTCTGATGATGAATTTCGTAAGCTTATTTGACGAGCACGTCGAACGCGAGTAGTTAACTGTTGAGCGGATCAAAGAACGCAGTCATAGTGAAGTTAACTTAGCAAAGAATATAGGCTGGTGGAATGAACTACGTGAAGGGTACAGTCTGGTAGAATTAAATTCGAAAAGGATAGGGTCTGATGAAATTAACTTAGCAAAGAATATAGTCCGGCCTTAGTGGGAGATTTAATATGGTGAAACTAACTTTGTAAAAGTATTTGGCAAACACAAATGGATATAGTAAATGTCGGACGACTCAAAGAATGTAGCCTGATGGAATTAATCCTCAGAACAGGCAGCCTATAACTTTTTTTCGCAGACATAGTTTCCATAGTTGTATAAAGTTTAGCTGTTCGATCAAAATAAGTTTTGTTTACAGAAAAAAAACAAAAGGAATGCTGCTTTGCATGCAATCAGAGAATGAGAAACGAGAGACTAAACACTAATAGATGGGATGCCTCATGAATTTGACGAAAAAAAAAACAATACTTAAAATACATGAAGTGTGTATAAGTGTGTTCTTTTATTATAGCTGAAAATGGAACTCCCGCTTATGTATATACAAAATACTGCATATACACAGAACTACCCTCGGTAAGAGGTAGAAGGTATGTATGTGAAAAATACGTTTTGACGTGTCTCAAAGAGTCTTATTTAAAAATGTCTCTCTGGGGTCGAACGAAGCTCAGAGAAAACTATTGTTTATGATTGCAAGAAGTCAACATTGGAAAAGTGCAAGGAACCTTAGTGCGCTTCTCAAAAATTATGTCCATCACTCCCATTGAATAATAATTCTGATAATTCAAGATAAGTGAGAAATAATTCTATGATTAATACTTACTGAAGTATATCGGGTATATACACAACTACCCCAAATAGAGGGCAAAAAATATAATACATGTCTAAACTTCTAAGGGCTGAGAGGGTCATAAAAAGATATTATACCACTTCTAAACTACGGAAAATCACAAAAAATCATCCATTGAGAACGTTTTCTTTTTAAACATGAGGAAAATGCTGTCAGTTCGAAATGGACACTATCGATTTTTGGCTCCTCTCGTAACCTTTTCTCGCTATTGAGAACAACTCCATTAGTGTACGGCCAGACTGAATTGCGGGCGGGCGTGAAGCGGGCGATAAGCGAGCGAGCGATTTTTTGCAAGGCGATTTTTTGGCCATACTAAAAATAGAAAATCGCAGATTAGTTGTGTTCTGTCGCCAGTAAACATGGCGCCCTTATCAAAACTAAAAAGAAATATTTTAATAGACAGTAACCCCTATATGAAGTGGAAATTATTTTTGGAGAAGTCTCGTAGATATGGAATACATCCTATTAATAAAAGGAGAAAAAAATTTGGAGAATTTCACCACCTATACGTCGAATTAAGAGAATACCCGGAAAAATTCTTTGAATACTTAAGAATGTCCATAAGCACATATGATTTTTTATTAAGTAAGGTTAATAGGAGGCTTACGAAAATTACGACAAATTATCGTTCTCCTATATCAGCAGAAGAAAGACTGGTAGTAACATTAAGGTAAGAATATATTCTTTTATACAGGGTGTTTCAGTTTATTGTTGCATAACTTTAAGATTCGACATAACTTTTAAAATTAATGCATAAAGTCTATATAAACATGGGTCGAAAAATGCGTGGCTTCCGAAATACAGGGTGTTTAAATTTACTTTCTAAAATAGTTTTTTTTAAATATTTCGAACAATATTTGATGTATAACAGTGAAAATTGGTATACAAGGGTTTTTTGGTACGACAAAACGAACCATGGGCATTGTTTTACTGTAGCCGCTAGAGGGCGCTCTCTACTGTACCTGTAGTGTATTAAAATGACCGAAAAATTTTTCTTAGTGCAATATTTTGCTTTTTCAATTAAATAACTGATTCTTCGCACTTTTCAACATAAAAAAGCTCTCCCGTGAATTTTCGTTATAGTTAGCCGTTTTTGAGATATTTTGATTTTTAAGGTTCGATGCATTTTTAATTATTTATGGGAAAATAATATTTTTTTTTACATTTTCGATTTGGGCATCACAAGTAATTAAGATGATCGTTTAGATTGTGTTTTTAAATACAGCAATAATTCCTAACTCAAAATAACGACTCTCAATTGTTTTTTTTTATTTCTCATTTTTACCAGCGTTAAAAATGCTACTAGTTTGCTAATTCAAACGACTTTGTATTTTCACTAATAACAAAGTTACTAATGGTGGACACTTAATTTGGATAACCCTGTATAATAATGAAATGCTAGTTACAGAAATAAAAGTTTTTATTTAATTTTATTATAACAGGCTAATTAACCAAATTTTCTAACAAAAACTACATTATATAATATTATACGTTAAATATGAACCTGGGTCGTTACTGCAGCCTGCTTGGTTTTCCAAGTTACCAGTTTCCAAAAGCGGAAGTTGTAAAATCTGCTGCTGCTGCTATGGCAGTTTTTTTTCTTTTTCTTCAAAATTAATGACATGATATCCGACTTAATTTCTAGTTTTTCAAATTCTGTGAAATCAGCCATATGGGGCAATAGACTTTTAAAGAACAGTAAATCATTGTCTTTCGCTTCGTTTTGCCACATTTCAATTTTTTTAGTTTATAAACTTAAAAATTCTTCTTGTCTTTTTTGGTCCTTTTACGTACTTGAGAAATTGAGCTGCTTCTAGATGGTGTTCGTAGCGGCATTGATCAGGGTGAAGAAGGTTGTGAATGTAGATCGCTGGCTTCATTGTTTTCATTATTTTCAACGGAATGAAGTTCTTCGATTTCATTTGAATCTTCATTGCAAGAAATCAAATTCCCCCGTGTAGGGGAAGGAGCAACAAAATCTTTTAAAAAATACATTTGTTCAAAATACTGCCACTTTGGTCTTACACTGGCTCCCGATCTGGGAATGGGTATTTTTTTCACCTCCTTTCTGAAGTGATCTTTTAAATTTTTCCACCTGTTTTTGGCATCCGTAACTAAAAAGAAAATATAATTTAATACACTATTATCGCTAATTTATGATTTTTATATTTACAAAACTTTTGGTGATATTTATACTTATTTATAGATTTTTTTAGGTATTTGGCAACTGGTTTATCGTTCAGATCGTTAGCATTTGCTTTTCGAATGCGAAAATCTACAGTAAGCAACATAGTTTTCGAAACCTGCCAAATTATTTGGGAAGAACTAGTGGAAGAATTTATGCTTATACCAAATGAGAACTGTTTAAAGAAAGTTATAGCTGACTACTTTAATCGATGGAAATTTCCAAATTGTTTCGGTTCGATAGATGGAAAACACTGTCAAATAAGATGCCCACCAAATTCTGGATCTCATTATTTTAATTATCTACACTATTTCTCTGTCGTGCTACAAGCTGTAGCAGATGCGGACAAAAAATGTTTAACCATTGAAGTTGGAGGCCGTGGTAAACAAAGTGACGGTGGAACATTTGCAGGATCAACGATATTCAATTTGTTAGAAAGTAATTTGTTTAATGTCCCTCGTCCTACTAATTTACCGAACACAAATATAGAATTGCCACATTTTTTAATAGGTGACGAAGCGTACCCTCTAAAATCATATTTAATGAGGCCTTATCCGAGACGCGGACTTAATCCCAAAAAAGAATACTTTAACAAATGCCTCTCCACTGCTAGAAAATGTATCGAGTGTGCTTTTGGAATACTGTGTGCTAAATGGCGTTTTTTAAATAAAGACACTGCCTGACAAAGCTTGCATACTTATTAAGTGTGCTTGCATCCTGCATAATTTAGTAAGAGACAAAGATGGCGACAGTGATCTCCACTATCGTCACATATCGGAGCAATATCAGGAAAATAATCAACCTGCCTTTAATGGAAGAAGGAATAATCGACGGAGTTCAAGAGCAATTGAAATTCGAGAACAACTTGCTGACTACTTATTCCACTTGCCAACTTAATTACACATCTACTATGTATTAAATAATTATGTGATTGTGTTTGTAATTAAATAATTATATACGTTCATATTGATAAGTATAATATAGACCTGTGTTCAAAAAAAGTGTTTCCTTTACCATTACAATTACATGCTTTGGCCACTTCTTGCCATAATTTATCAACAGCATTTTTATTCTTATATAAAGGGTGACTATCTTGCCACAAAGGTCTTCTGGTATGAACTTCAGATATCAGGAGCTCCTTCTGTTCATGTTTATTACTGCTACACATTTTATTTCTTTTTATTTACATCTGTTTTACGAGAAACACAGCAGCAAACTATCCAAAAATCCAAACACGCTCGCTAGAATTTCAAACAAGTTTAATTACTCTTTTATCGCACGCTGCACGCTTAATTTTTGCCCGCCCGCTAAGCGTCGGTGTGGCATCTGTGCATTAGCTTTTGAAAAAATCGCTCGCTCGCTTATCGCCCGCTTCACGCCCGCCCGCAATTCAGTCTGGCCGTACACTTAGACTTGTATTTGTAAGTTAGCAATCTGAAATTCGAGATGTTAAAATTGTTTCATGAATACTAGTATTATGTTTTAGCGTAAAAGTGACAGTTGAAAATACCAAGACGGCGACAGTGTGTCATTTTGGATCATTCTTCCAAATGGAATGGGTGCTCTGTGACATTGTGTTTTGAAGATCCATGAAAGTACTTCATAATCTTAGTATGCATTAACTATAGCTTTACAGGTGGATCGTAACATAAAACAGATTGGAAGGGGTATTGGCAGGTATATTGCGTGACAAAACCTGCGTATGCTTATCCGATAATAATAATTTTTGGCATATATGTTCAGTGTCCCTTACTAGTAAAATGATTACATTTTCAGCTTGATTCGTCAACTGACTGTAGAAGCCGGTTCAATAATGTGTTGAGGATTCACGAATCTTTATACACTCATTGACACACCTGGGCACCGCTGATAACGTGGATTGGGGTATCTCGTTCCAGGCTACTGCAACTTCGTGAGTAAGAGCTGCTAAAGTATGTGGAGGGAGTTGCAAATTCAAGAGCCTGCCACCTATCATGCCATAGATAAGCTCAATTGGAGATAGGTCAGGCGATCGTGGAGGCCAAGGTAAACGGTTGATGCGATGTTGATCCATGAAGGCTAACGATGTTCTGGCAACCCGCGGTCTGGCATTGCCTTGCTGAAACGTCGGGTTTTGGATGGTATTTAGTTATGGAATAAGATGAGGCTCCACTGCTTCCTGAATATAGCGTCGGGCTGTCATGTTGCTTCTGATGAAAATTAGTGGTGTTTACCTTTCTTTGTCACTCAGTATATTAACTGATACCTCTCAACAAGTGTGATGTTGATTGGGGGCTTTTGACACTTTTGTAGAATTTATGACACCGTATTGGAAATTTGTATCAGTTGGACTTTTTGTAGCAACCAGTGGGTTCAGACTAGAACTAGAAGCACCAAGTGATCTGTTCTTAGGTTTTGGGGGCAATTGAGGAGGAGTAACCTTTTGCTTCACGGTTTGCTTTCTTCTATATTACTGAGTCTTTTTTCATGTTTTCTTTCATCTTGTTTGATATTGTTCTTACTCTCGCAGTTTCATCTTCTGCAATCACTTTAATAGTAAAATGACAACTTAACATGAATAAAAAAACCGGCTTACTTCAAGCTCCACACCACAATCATTAAAAGCGTTATTGCGTAGATCCGTTTTGCACTTTCCGCGATATTGGAATTCGGGCAGTTATCGTTTCTTCGAAACAGTTCGCTCGTTTGAAAACCAGTTTTAAACGCTGTTAGCATAGCAAATGAAATCAAAATCATCGGAATAGTATTCTAAACCCGCTGAATGAGAATGGAAATAATCGGAATCATCGGAATCGACTCCTTCTAGACGATCGGAGTTGACCCTCCCAGATACACTAGTGCTTTGAGCCGTAATTTTCCTTTAATTGATACTGTTTGCATCAAATTAATCATTAATCACGAGCATTTTAATATTTATTCTATTTTTACCCCTCCTTCAATTCTTTTTGACATGTTTGGTCAGTACCTTGAAGCCCTTGAAGTATTCGGTTACTGGAAATTGATTATCTCTGGCGACTTCAATGTCGCGTCGTTCAGTAGTGATATCAATGATCAGAAGTCACAATTGATAAGAAGCTTCATCTCGCTTCATGACTTAATTAACTTCAATAATGTTTTTAACGTAAACGGTCGAATATTGGATCTGATTTTAGGAAATCTTGACATAGAAGTTATCAGGGATAGTTCACCGTAGTTAAAGAGAATGTCCATCATCCTGCGCTGATCTTTGAGTTCAATACATCCGGGTTTCAAAGAAAATTCCCATTTGCAAATTCTACAAGGTACAATTTTCGTAGAGCTAGATATAACTTATCTTCAACAACTAAATCCAATAGTACAATTTATGTCTTCTCTCAATCATATAAGTGAGGATGATGTTATCATGGTTTCGAAAAGATTAAAGAATAAAAAGACATCTGGATGTGATGGTATCCCAAGTTTTGTTGTCAGAGATTGTATACACATACTGGCTAAATCGTTGGCGTCAGTATTTAATCTTATTCTTAAACTAGGGACATACCCAGATATCTGGAAGACCACTAAAATATGTCCCATTCATAAGAGTGGTGATATCGCAGATGTTTCCAACTACCGACAAACAGGAATTCTATGCAACTTCGGTAAGTTTGAGATCATAGTTTATAATATGGTTTACTGGTCGGTCAAGGGTGCAATCTCTATCAATCAGCATGGATTCATGAGCGACAGATCTAGGGTTACTAAATTGACCCTGATTACTCAGTATGTCTCCCAAGTATTAGACACTCGGGGGCAAGTTGATTTGATCTATATAGATATTCAGAAGGCATTTGATCAAATTGATCATTATGTACTTCTGGATAAGCTTAGGACCCCAGGTCTATCTGAGGGACTGTTGTCGCTCCTGAGTTCATACTTGGACAGAAGGTTGTTTGTTGAATATGGTGGTTATAGTTCGAGTTATTATCAGGCCACATCTGGGGTGCCTCAAGGATCGAATCTAGGCCCCTTATTGTTCCTGATCCTTACTAACGATTTGTCTATTGAGCTCAAGCGTTTGTTTTTTGCTGAGGACGTTAAGATTTACGCATCGGTCGAGTCAATTGATGATTGTCTCATGCTGCAGGATAATTTAGACTTAATTTCTTCATGGTGCTCTCAAAACTGTCTTAGTTTAAATATTTCTGAATGTAAAGTTTTGTTTTATACAAGAAAGACTAATTGTTTAATATATGATGATTATAACGTCAACGGTCAGGTTCTAGACCTTGGAGTAACCTTTGTTATATCTTGATATCTCATCGGCTGCCACCACACTACTTGGCTTCTGTATCAGAAATTGGAAGGGGTTCTAAAATGTCAGTACTTTAATTACTTTGCTCGTTACTTTTGTCAGAATCAAGCTGGAATATGCAACCCTGATCTGGTCTCCAATATATACTAAGTGACATATAAATCCGAACACCCAGTTTAAATGGTTTTATTTTAATAAAAGTTGGTGAATGTATTTATCTTACTGTAAATAACAAGTGAACAAATTTTCAGCCTTATCAGTTGGACATTCCGGTTTTTATGTTGCTTTTTTTTTAATTCACTAACGCTCTAAAAATGAATATTCCAGCCGCAGTAAAGAATCAACGTTGGCGGATTTTGGTTCTTGACATCCCTTACGATCGGTTACGATGCCTAGAGTACGGAGACCTGTACGATTTCGTCAACTTAGTGAGTTTGATAGGGACCGTATAGTGGGACTTCGGGAAGCTGGACTTTCTTTTCGGGCAATTGCAGTTAGAGTGCAAAGAAGTGTAGACACTGTGGTTAGGTGTTTTCAGGCATGGCTTCGAGAAGGCCGTACGCAAAGAGCAAGTGGCACTGGACGCCGCCGTAGAACAACAGACCGTGAAGATCGCCGCCTAAGATTATTGGCCTTAAGGGACCGTTTCTCCACTACCAGATCCATTGCAAATGAATGGTTTGCAGAACACGGAAGACCTATTGACATGCGAAGTGTTTACCGACGAATGAGAAGTTTTGGCTTGTTTTCATATCGGCCACACTGGGTCCTCCCTTTAACTCGAGAACACCGACGTAATCGCTTTGAGTGGTGCAGACAACGGTCACTCTGGGATCAGGAATGGAACAGTATTGTCTTTAGTGACGAGTCTCGATTTTGTTTAAGCATGCACGATGGTCATGCCAGGGTTAGAAGGCGACGTGGTGAAAGGAGGAATCCACAGTTTTTTGTTGAAAGACATGTTCATCACACTGTTGGAGTTATGGTTTGGGGTGCTATAGCTTATGGTTCCAGGTCACCTTTAATCTTCATCAGAGGTAACATGAACGCGCAGCGTTATATCCACGAAATTCTAGAACCCCATCTTTTACCCTATCTTGACACCCTGGCAGATCCAACTGTCCAACAAGATAATGCCCGACCGCATGTTGCAAGAGTCACAATAGACTTCTTTCGACATAATGATGTCACATTGTTACCATGGCCACCAAGAGACCAAGAGACTTATCCCCAATTGAGCACGTGTGGGATATGATGGGTAGGAGATTGCTCAATTTGCAACGTCCTCCTCAGACTCTAGAAGCACTTCGAGAGGAGTTGGTGGTTGTCTGGAATAAGATACCACAGGACGACATTGACCACCTGATCAGAAGCATGCCTAGGCGCGTTGGAGAATGCGTAGCACATCAGGGTGCATCCACACATTATTAAAGGTCAAAGGGCTTTAAAGCAGTGCAATCATTTTGAAATTTTTATTATTTACTTATTATGCTTCATTAAGTACTTATACAAAATTTTATTCAAATAAAGCCATTTAAACTGGGTGTTCGGATTTATATGTCACTTAGTATACCTAAATTCAGTTTCAATGATTGGAGGCATTCAACGTAAGGCTATTAAGTATTTTTACCTGAAATGTACTGGTTCTTATCCAGAAAGAGTTTTTTGTCATCATACCCTTTTGAATTTTTTCGATTTAGATTCACTATCGATTAGACGTAATATGTTTGCCTTATCGTTTTCATATGGCCTTAAGCACAATCAAATTGACTGTCCGGATTTACTTGAAAAAATATATTTCCGCATTCCAAGACTTGAAGGTCGTCAACAATCAGCCTTTTATTGTCAAGCAGGCCAGATGAACGTAATGTTGAAATCTCCAATTTATGTAATGT